ATGATACTTGACCTCTTCTTACTTCTTTTCTCAACTTATTCTTTATTTTCACTTCTTGCACAATGTGAAACGCATATACTCGGTCTGGTCGGAGAACAATTGATGATGAGTTTGCTTTAAAGCTTGCATGCCGGGTTTGGCTTGAAGAATAGCGGCCTCTTTTGGCGGCGCTTTGCATGATTTCTCCTTCTTGCACGTTTGCATATACGTTTGCGCACAGTTGCGCTGCATGGCTTCCTATGGGAGTTGGAGATGGTCATTTTTGGGTCGTTAGATCCAAGCCAAATTCTTACAATCACCAAGGCTTTCTTTGACGCCTTGCGACGGATTGGCTTACGTTTTGTATGATATACGATTTTAATTTGTCCACTATTGCAGCATTCTATGTATCATGTCTCGTTATGACAGCTTTGCGGCTCGCACCTTGTCCGAAGTCTTTGAGACTCAGGCGGGTTTTCTGATAGGTCAGGCTGCATAGGAATTGATGTAATACTAGTAGGGGAAATTTAATAATGGCATGGCTAAAATATAGCAGCTGGGAACTCACTGTCAAGCACGAATCCTCCCCATTCCAACTTCCCGATAAGTAAACATACAGAATCAGGGCCGTCTCGTGGATAAAACCTGGACAGTAGATTTGTTAGTACAAGCGAACAGTCGCAAGCATAGAAACCACCACAATAAAACTCACAAGCAACCACCTTCGGACTCAGCCTCCCAACGCTCAACACCCGGCTCCAATCCCTGGCATCGATCCGTACCTTGGCCCACCCTGCCTCATCATCACTCCCCAGGGCCCGCATTCTCTCACTGGGCAACTGCTCGATCTCACTCTGCGACAGCTGCGCCGGGTCCAGCGGCGGGTTCACCAGATCACTCCACACGCTCGAGATGCGCAGCGCATCGGTGGCAATTGCCAACTTCAGCGAGCCATGCATGTTCGCCGATAACTCGAGCTTGGGCGATGTCAGCGTCGAGGAGACGATCCCGCCGCTGGCCGCGGGTCTCGCGTCCCCTGCTAGCTTCGAGAAGCGCTCGGAGATGCTTTTCAGGTGCGCTAGGCTCGGGAGGATGATGTGCACGTCTGGATCCCGGCAGCGGGGCTCGTGCAGGCCCTCGACGGCTGTCTCGTGCAGGACCTTGACGGGGATTTCTTGGGTAATTACCGTTTCGCGTTCGCGGGGCCCAGCGGCGCTAGGAGCTGCTGCTCGCGGATCGGCGGCGGGAGCGTTTTCAGTGCCGGGGTTAGTGATTCCGAGCGCATTTGAGCCTGTTGTCCAGGAGGAGGAGAGGACAGTTAGTGCGAGGAGGGGGATGTTGCCTTTCTTTGTTAGGCGGAGTTGGGCGGAGGTGGCGCCCGTCGCGGAGCGGAGGGCGCGGTGGAGCGCGCCGATGGGGACCTCGAGGTTGATGACTCCTGAGTTGGATTGGAGGGTGTAGGTTGATTCGTCGAAGATGGCTTCCTGGTGTTGCTTGTTAGCTCGGGTTTCTTATTGAGGCGGGGAGGGGGTGCGTACGACTGGTAGCTGGGCCCACACTTGCGTGCCTTGGTCGGGGATGATGGTGAAGCGGACGATGCCATCTTCCAGGCGCATCCAGCAGACTTTCCCCAGGGATGAGAGGGAAGCTGTCAACTCTGTTGGTGGTGTTTGGGCTTGTGATTAGTGTGAATATTGATGATCGGTGACGGGGAGACTTACTGGTGAAGGTGACAATGTTAGTCAGTTGACTTCGAAAACGCATCGTGGGTCATCGCGTCGCTGCGAATATTGCCCTTGAACCGGTATCAATTGGACTACTTGAGGATATCTAGACTACCGTGACGATGCTTGAGCTTTGTGCATTGACGAGTCCAGGCTTCAGCGGCTGGAGGTGATCGGCAAGGGACAACGCTAACTAATTGCTGTGGGGCAGGCTAGTGGCCTAAGGCCTTACGGTTTGCTTTGCTTTATCTAGCTGCTAACCTGCTACAGACTCACAGAGGTTGAAAATATCACACACTGCAATAGAAGACGGAGAATGATCCCGTGTTGAGGGTGAACGTCTATTCTATCCCGCTAAGTGGTAAGGAGACATCCATCAGATCTCTCGAGAGCCAACGCAGCGATCAACGCGGCGCCAACTCCAGACCCGTCTTTGTAGTATCCATACACAATCAAATCCTCAAGGTCATCAGGCCATTCAAAAATATCCCGGAGGGCCTGCGCCGCTCGCTTGCGGTAATTAGCATAATGACCGAAAATTGAGCCATCAACGCCAACATGGCAGCGTTCGATATTGCGTTTCTTGCAGATGGCTGCAATCCCGCACGAATAGAGACGGGCAGCACGCGTTCCAATCAATTCGGCCAGGTATCGACAGGTCTTGAGTTCGTGCGGAGCTGGATCAAGGCCCATCTTGTGCATGCACTTGTGGATGTCCTCCATGCACTCGGTCATGTCCTCCTCCAGGGTTGGGAAGATGGAAGCGTCCAGGGCATTTGGCTGTCTCAAGCACGAAACATCCTGACCTACAAAGAGAAGTTTGGCTTCGTGCAGTTCCAACATCACCAGTCGGAGCAGCTCCCCTAGGTACGGCCCGGAGACCATCTTCTCGTAGAGCTGCTGCCCTGGATGCGCGGATGTTCGATCGATTTCATCGTCAAATCGTGTCCGCGGCAGTATGCGGCGTGAATTATCAAAGGCACCGTACTCGGTGTTGATCGCGACGAGAGCATCGCTTGGTAGCCCGGAGTCTCCAATCTTTGGGATTGCACCAATCTCTTCCATGTATGCAGCGTTGCAACCGGTGCTTGATATACTGCCGATCTTCACTTCTCGGTCTCCATACGCCGCGGCGAAGAGCGTTCCGACCGTATCATTGATCAGTGCCACGACTCGGATGGGAAGTTGCTAGCCAAATGAGCGACAAGAGAACACGTCTCTTTCTTGCCTTTGCGATCGGCACGGATACAAGGGGACACACCTTCCGTTCGAAAGCTGCCTCTAACTGGAATACGATATCATGGCCTTCCACTCCAGACACGCAGAAATCTTTCGTCCAGCGCTGAAGTACCCCAGATTTTATAGAGGACTGAACCACAGGATAGGAGAAAGTGAAGGCAAGCGGCAAGATCCTCGATCTTTCGTCTTCCCTGAGCCGTGACTGGAGAAACTTCTGCACACAGTCCGCCACGAAATCCCACAAGTCGTCGGCTGTACCCTGCTTGATCGCATCGGGTATATTGCACTTCTCCTGGGTGGACTCCATGTCGCGATCGCTACCGAGAAGCTTCGCCTGACTTACGCGCAGGTTGGTGCCTCCCATGTCGAGGATCAAAAATTCTCCTTGCTCCTTGCCAGTTGGATAGCCCATGACCCAAGTTACGTTCATTGGCTGTGGCACGATCTCGATCAGTTAGGGTCCCTTCAGAGCAAGAAACCTAGATATTCAAATCTAGCAAGCTCACTAACGATATCGCCTCCTTCCGCGCTTAGGCCTTGGGGTCTTGGTCAGTATGGACATCAAAGAATGACGACGTTGTGCACCATGATTGCTAAAATCTTTCCAGGCTGATCTGCAAGGCTCCAAACCTTTTTCCAGTTCCTTGACAAAATGATCCGTGATCTTCCTCAGCAGGAACTTGTCCACAGCGAACAGTTCCTCCAATCCCTGAAGCGCAACGACCAGATTTTCTGGTGCGCCGCTAACAAGGTCGGGTTGAGTGCGGATACCTTTTTCCATTGTTGTATCTAAAAGAGACGAAAGATGGGCTTCGGATTGGTCATGCAAGGGGTAGGATCATTTAAGATCTAGAAAGTAATCTTTGTTCTATCATTCGGGGTAGTATTTGGATTTGGGACTAGGAAGGAAGGGATGCAAGGCAGATTTTACTCTAAGCGTTCAAGGACGTATGGCAGTCTATAGGGCTACTAAGGCATTCCGATGATCGCGTGAAATGATAATTATGATGGACGGGTTTGAAAGCCAGAGGCCATCATGTTGACCGCATAATGAGCCAAGTTGATTCTGTCATCTGCGTATGCATGGATCAATGAGAGACAGCTGTCAATATGTATGTCTCATGAGTAACTTCCAGCGATAAATAAGTCAATAGCACACGCGTCGGGCAGAAAACAAGTGCAGGATACTTTTCATGATTCGATGAAGTAGACACAAATACAAATTTCCCTAATAGGAAATTCTTAGTGCCTCCGTCCTAACAGTGAACTATTTAAAAATACTTTCTTCTACTCCATAGTGAAACCCCTAATATTATTGCCTAGATATTGGACTAAGATACTAGTATTTATCTATATTCTATCTAGTGAAGTGTCTACTAGTAAATAGTAAGGTCCACTTTGAGTATCCGCGCGTCGCCGTCAACCCCTAGTAAAGCAGCTTACCTAGCTTAGGGATCTCCATCTCCAGGTCACCACCACCACCACCATCAAAACTCTCTCTCCTCTTTTCTCCATGCATGCACGGATAATGCTGCTACTGCTGATGCAAATTGTCCGTTGTTATCAATTTCATCATTGAGATCCAAACATTAAGAGCTGGTCTCCCACATTACACTCGTTTTCCTGCTGCAGCCACCCCTCGATCCCAGCCTTTCCCTCTTTTCCCCGACCAACCTCACGATATCCCCAGTCCCTGTGCTGTTTGTGATCTATCCGACCTGCCAACTCTTCTTCCGTCTCATCCTGTCTCTCGCTATCTTCATAAATTATCTCTCGCTCCTCCGAATCATCTCCGCTCCACTTCCTCTCTACTTCGATCCTGCTCAATCTACGCACTCGCTTTCAGTCTCCATACACCAACCTCGCCATACGCCATCTTTCAGCTTCAGCGGGATCGCGCCTCAGCATGCTCACTCAGCGCTATTCTCTCTCTCCTACCATCACTGATACCGCATCTCGACCTCCATCTCTCGAAAACTACATTCACTCCTCGGTAATCTTTCCGCCCGGCCTCCTGTGAGCCGTCGATTCTAGGCAGGTGACGACCCCTTTCCCGAAATGGCAACCAGTCGTGTCAGCCCCGTTCGCCCTTCGGTTCGATTCTCTCCGACCGAGTCTCATCATTATCGTAAACGCTCATTATCTCGATCTCCCGACCGTTCTGCTGCTCCGAAATATGAAACAATTGACCCCTTGCTCAGCAACCTTTCTCCCGAGTCCACCTTGCTGGCGCTAACCTCCACCGATGCGGTACCAAAGAATGAGAAAGCTGCTCATGATATTCTCTGGAAGAGTATTTCGCAAGTCTCCCCGGCGGAACGCGCACTGGGGATCCGCGCGGCTATAGCAGCTCAGAAGCTCGGCGAGTGGTATCGGGAGGTGCAGGCATGGGACTGGCCGAAGCGAACCGATGCCCAACAAGGAAAAGGTTTCATGCCGCCGTCTTCAGATACTATCGACTCTGAGGAACAAGTCTACTATGGAAGCCTACCCTCGGTTGTTGTTAAGCAGCACGAGGATCGTATTGAAGAAATCCAAGATGGTATGGAAACATTAGACGTTGACGAACTCAAGGAACACGTTCTCAATGCCCACATTCCAGCGCGGTCTCGGCCGTCGTCATCCAATAGCACTATGTCCGTGCCTCCTCCTCTGAGCTACGTTCAATTGAGTGATTTCACTGCCGTCATCACCGCCACTATTCTTCGAGCCCTTCCTCTTTTGTCCCGATTGAACAGCCTCCTTACAACATGGAACGTTCGACTATTAGTGCTTCGTCAGATTCCAGGCCTCCTACGAGCTTTGCAACTTGCTCGGTCCGAGGTGGATTCTGCGATGGACCTGTTGAAAGCTCCCGCTCCTCTTTCTGAAAATGATACCCTCTATTCGAGAGAAAACTATCACGCCAAGCAAGCTGGACTTGAGGCGATAGTACTCTCGGCCGGCAGACGAATGGATAATGTCCTTGACGCGCTCGAGGGTCGAGAGGATTCACTCCCGGAAAGCTGGATTGACGATCTGGAGGCTGTTGAGTCTGATTTTAGCACATGGGTCATGGAAGCCGAAAAGCGTACGGTTGAGAATGAATGGCTACGCCTGAGGACGATGACGAGTAAAGCAAAAGAAGCTCAACGTGTGCAGAATCAACAGAATCGGCTGTCAAACATTCCTGAAGAGGAAGATTCTGAGCCTCCAGCTGCCGATTCATCCGATCCATTCTCCCAACCCAGTTGCTCGCTTCCTATGCAAACCATCAATGAAGACGACGATGACGACTCTTTGGTGGAAGCTATTTCTGATCCTGTTACGCACAATCAAAGTTCCGAACAGATGCCCAATACTTCAAACCCCTCACAATCCCATCTTGACCCGAGTGAGTCTGTGGGCTTTCCTGAACCCGAAACGGACCCTGCATTAAAACCGAAAGAGGGCGCGGAGCTAGCGAAGGAGTCTCCAGAAGAAAGTGCAATCAAAATCGTGATAGATGCTGTATCCCCCGTTGATGTGGACATGTATCAACCGGAGTCTTCGGGACTCATGAAAAGTCTCTCGGGAGACTCCTCCGATAATTCTCCTGGAGGATCTTCAGAAGAGTCACCGAACAATCCGCCTTCTCATTCGCCTCTATTCGTCCGTCGGGTTCTACCTGACACATCTGAGGCCGCTTCAGAGGAGATGTCATTTGAAGAGAATACAGAGGCTGCAGCTCAAACTCATGGAAATACTGCGGTGCCACAAATTCCTGTACAGGAAAGTCCAGTTTCCATAGAGCAACCTTCGGGAGGAAGGGCGGACGAAACCAGCTCGATCACCAAGAAGCAACAGGTCCCTCGTGACCTTCAATGTTCCCTGACAAATGACCACTTTGTCATCACAAACCAGCCTGCAGCTGAGTCCTCATCTGTTTCATCCGAACTCCTACTGGAGGATACATATCTTGTCTCACATGTTAAGGAGAAGTTGTGCGGTTCCCAATTATTTGTATCTGCCCAGGAAGTACCATCTATTATTACAGGGCCAGCCAAGTCCTCTTACAAAGAGCACAAGAAGGCACCCCTAGAAGAACCCAGCTTTTTCACTTCAGAGAATGATTATTTCCGGATTCCAGAGTCGGAAATACCGTCACTACCTACGGCGGGCGCATCGATAGAGCGGACTGATGCTGTTTGTGGCATCAATGAGCATCAAACAAGCAGCACCGCCACTGAACGTAACATTCAGGAAGAAAGGAAACAAATTTCGCAGGGATTATCTGTCACTCCGGTGCTTTCTGACTCTGATCGTCAGCTTTCAGTCGCACCATTGAAGGAAAAGGTTGCTCCCATGGCAGTCTCGAGCAACGTGACAGAAATTACATTCAGTGATGAACCAGCTGCAGCTGAACGACTCACAGTCAACAGGCTCAACCGTCAGGGCCTGAGTGCAGATACAGGACGAGCGGTTGACCCGTCCGGTTCCGAGAAATCCTCGCCGATCGAAAATGAAGCAGCAACTCTCGCAAGCGTCATAGCCGAAGCAGCTACAACTGGAGCGCCTTCTACTTCTATGTCATTCAAGAGAGAAGAGTCACCTTTTGGATCCACAACTTCGTCGCCAGAACCTACGAAGCCTGTGTCCAGCTCTCACAATGACAAGGAGTCGGCCGTCTACCCAGGCGAACCACAACAAGCCTCAGAGACAGCTCCTCCACCCAAGATCCGCTTGGAAAGTCCCATCAAACTTTCAAAAAACAGGCCGCAGAGCTTAGATATTAGCAAAGGAAACTCAAAATCGCGGGCCCGACGAACTTCTACCGCATCTGCGGGCTCCCTTTCAGATTATCCCTCGCTTACATCTAGCCCGGGCATCCGTGAGCCTCGCACCGCGTCTTCGAATGGGACACCACTGCTTCTCGAGACACCACCACCATTCCAAGACCTTTCACGAGCCTCTGACTATGTATCACTTGGTACCGACCATACTCTGCGTGAGGAGCGCCTGCACCGTTTGAACAACCAGAAGGTTCCTAATGCAACCATGACGCATAACCGGGCCCTGAGCCTTCCTCTGCAAAGATTTATCAATGAGAGATATGACATGCAGTACGAGAGCGAGGCTGGACGTGATTTGGACGGTGCCCTCAGCAATCGACGAGCCTCAGATGCTTCCGTCGACCTGCGTCCTCAAAGCGAGCAGCATCCAACGCACTTACAGTCACCAAAGGATCGCCCAACCGCGCCGACTAATAACTTGAAACTTCTCGCAAGTCAGCACCTGGAACTTTCTCAGAGAAGTCAATCCACTTCGGAACTCGATGATGCTACCCCTAAGCTGTCTAAAGCCTGGGCACATAACGCGAAGGCCTTTGCAGGAAACTCCGACTTTCCAAGCTCTCCCCCGGGACCTGCTGTTCGTATCGACGCCGTCCGTATACGAAAGCAAATGACTACTCATCCTAGCCTTGAGAACATCGGTGCATACAATTCTGAATCGCGGCCTTTTGGAGACACTAGATTTTCAAAAAAGGGAGCATCAAGATCTCCGACTCCCAGTAAACAGTTGAGGAGGCCCAAGGATCAACTGGATGAAAAAATCAGCTCGATACTGAACACTATCCCTGCCCGCATTCACCTAGTATCTTCTGAAGACCGCGAATTTGACGAGGCTTCGGTTGCGCCCTCCCTGCCAGTGCAACATAGGGAGCGCTTCCGCTCAATGACCTCACAGGGAGCTTTATCGCGCAGCGGTACCCCTACGCCTTCATTGACGCTAACCCCGGCTCCCTCTCGCAGGAGGCATTCTCATGCGCCGGAAGACGGCTCCGTGAAGTTGTATCATTTGCATCGAGGTGGCAAGGCTGCTCCTACCAAGCTATTCATTCGCACAGTGGGAGAAAAGGGTGAACGTGTGATGGTTCGAGTTGGAGGCGGATGGGCCGACTTGGCCGAATATCTCAGGGAGTACGCTATCCATCATGGTTGTCGGGCTGTATCCGAGACACCACGCGTCGAGGTTCAAGGCCTTTCTCCCCGCGCATCTCCCACCCATTCATCACCAGGCAGCACACTCACACCAACCGGCAACACTGGACGCAGAACGCCATCCCGACCCGCATCGGTTCTTAGTAATCGACCCTCATCTTCGCTTGCTGTTCGCAAAACGCGGCGAGTGTCGAGCGTGTCAGATCGGTCTGACTTCCGTTCCGTCAGCGCTGGTCAGGCATTGATGACCTCGTATTCCCCACTGTCCACCGTCTCCTCCCGTCGACGGCTCTCGGTTTCGTCTACTCACTCCTTCGGTGGCACATCATTCGCGAGTGAAAGCCATCATGGAACCTTCACGAATTCTCCTTCCATACCCTTGGGTCTGGCAGGCCCAACACCAAGATCACGTCGTGTCTCAATCAGCCCGGAAAGTGAGGCATGGGTGGAAGACGTACTTGGACAAGCTCGAAGGAGCTCCTCCTTGAGACCGGTCAAATATATCTTACCACCTCATGAGCAAGAGCCTGTTAGCGCCAGAGCCCCGACTTTGCCTAAATCTAGAAGTATCAGCGATATAGGCAGAGCTGGTTCTAGCAAGCGAGTTGCACTTCGCGGGTTTGGAAACCCGAGGAATTGAATGATGACTGCATTTCTCCTAGCCATATGCACATCTCGATCATCCTTTATTGACCATCTCATTGACATCATTCTTCATCGATCATCTAGCGCTGGCGTTCTTTTTAAGCTTGGTTCTGGGTTTAGAACAAAGGCATTCGTCAAAAGCATTCATTCATCCGTACCTTTCCCCCATTACTCGGCACCATTTTCCTTGTCATCTGCCTAAGGGATCTATACATTGTTTCTTAGATGTGCTTCCATCATGATCTGTTCGGGGATATCATCAGCGAGCATCTTGCATTTATCAGCATCTTTGCATGGCGTTTAGGAGATCTTATTTGTTTGCATCTTTGTTCGCGCTTTTTCTATTGTTTTGCAAAGAAAGATACCCTCAGATGAGGTTCGATGGCATGCTTTATTGCCTTTTGGCGCTATTCAAAAATTGACATAAATCAATTTGTTGAAAATATGAGATAGGACGGTAGAAGTAGAGAAGATAGATAACAAAGAAGGCATATATGAGAGAGGTCTAGAATTGCTAGATGGTTAGGTTATGCCCGTTGACTAGCTATCTAGATCCAGGGTGAGTATGCAAGAATCATAACAATCCCCCTTATACAAAGAAAATATCTGCAATATCAACCAGGCCCTATTACTGGCCCTATTACTTGATCAGCATTGATGAAGCTATCTGAAACATCTTTCTGGTTCTTCCTGGTTGATATCGCAGTCATTTTGCGAGCTATCCATGAAGACACTCAACCATGTATGCTAAAGAAGGCAGCGCAGCCTCACAGAGGAAAGTGAGCAATCGAGGACCAGGATGAGTTTAGACATGTGATGCCAGGGTCGACATTGGATTAAATGAACATTAAAGCTAGGTCGTACCAGGGAACATCTTGCAAGCAATAAAATATGTGTTTTGGGGGGATTTGTCACTTGGTTGCGAATTTGGACTGCCCCAAGTCTCATGAAATGGCTGGATATTGCAACCATCGAGTATCCGTGCCATACGCACCCTCAACCGCCGAGCGGTGTGGGTGCGTATGGCACGGATACTTAGTATCGCGATGCTATATCTATAAGGGAACTGAACTTACTTAATCTTAGGATACATTCGCTGAAATCCTTTTAGACAACTCTCATGACTAAGGATCTTGTGAGAATAAAATAAAAAGCTTTGGTAGTGTATTGAGTACTGAAGTTTGCTTCCAGCCTCTCTCACTCATCTCCATAGATACTGTCATGTGTACTTGATGATTCCTTTTACTTCCTGTACTTGCAGATAGCACCTTAGCTTTAGCATTATTAGATATATCATATAGTTTCTTTCCATTTTCTTCTATTATAGTACTAGTGTACTATAATTAGTAGTATATCTATAAGTCCTTAGGGACCCCTATCACAGCTAATTCTATATACTTAAAGTAATATCTACTAAGAGAAACTATACTACTATAGAGCTTAAATATATAACCCTTATCTAGGCTTTACTATAGCTACTATAGTATATAGATAATAACTTTACTATTATTATAGACTATTTAGTACTTATAGATATATTATAGAAGAAGCCTACTAGCTACTCTATATAGTTAAACTAATAGATACTATTCCTTAGTAGATTCTTACTATAAATAATAATACTATATTATAGAGGGAGACTATATATAAATACTAATACCCTCTCTAGATACCCTACCTATACCTTTAATATAGATAAGCCTAATAAGGTTAAGACTACCTAGCTCTAATAGTATATTATAAAAAATAATTATATACCTACCTTAGTTAATACTATAGTAATAATAGGAGCTAATTAAAACTTTCTTTAAGTAGTATAAGATAGACTACTAACTAACTAAACTTTCTATAGCCTTCTGCAGAAGATATATAATAAGATTAAGAATATTACTAATATAAGTAGTGCCCCTAATATAGATGATATACTATACTATTATAACTTTATACTTAAGGATAGGCTACTATATAATATATATATATATATTAACTAAATATCTTTATATCCTAAAAGAACTTTATAAGTAAATATTTAAATAAGTATATAATAATAAGGACTACCTAGGCTTTAATAAGTTATATAGTATACTTATATTAGAATTTTTTATACTATAGGTAAAAAAGGACCTTTATAACTATATTTAAAAGTATCTAATATATAGTATCTATAAGAGATTAAAATATAAGCTCTATAGTAAGCTATAAGTTATTTAATAGCCTATAAATATCCTATAAGTACTCTATATAAACTTTATTATAGGCTTACTAGAGAGCTAAGACTATAATTCCCTTATAATAAGAACTAATAAATTCTCTAAATCTATATATCTAGTACTAGGCCTAGAGATATAGACAGCTAGAAAATAAGTAAATATATTTTTTAATCTAGTACTTAAAGACTAGGGATTGTGATGACCCTGCGCGCAACACCGCGCTTAACTCTGTAGTCTCTGATATAGTCTCCCTTTGCACGTAGTTAGCTGCATTAGGAAGGGAAGGGCTCAGGGCTCAGGGCTAGGGTTAGTGGAGGTTGTCACACCCTGGGATCCGTCTCTGCTGTTCTTCTCTAGTCAACTACTTTGGGAACGGGGTGACATAGTCCCTGGACTATATCCAATACTTGCCTGAGGCCTACCGACCAGGTAGCCTAGTGATAT